AGAAGAGGGCACCAGATCTCATGATAGATGGTTGTGAGCCACCATGTGGTTGCTGGGAATTGAACTCAGGACTTCTGGAAGAGCAGTCGGTGCTCTTAACCTCTGAGCCATCTCTCCAGCCCGCTACTGGTATTTTTTAGATAGCATTTTATTTTAAATAGCATTTCATTGCTATTGGTATTTTAAAATAGTGTTTGGTTTTAAATAGTATTTCATTGCTATTGGTATTTTTAAATAGTGTTTGATTTTAAATAGTATTTTGTTGTTACTGGTATTTTTTTAAGATAGGATCTGGATATGTAGCCCAGGCTGATGCCAAACTTGAGTCAATACTGCCTCAGCCTCCCGAGTGCTTGCTGGATTAAAAACTTGAGGCATCACTTCTTGCAAATGCATTTAAAAACCTCTTGTCATTGTGTAGTGTTCCCCCATCAACGGTTTTGTCTGAGTTTTTGAATATTTGAGAAGTGACCAGAATCCAGTCAGAAAATGGATGATCAACACAACACACGGTACCTTTTACTGTGGTTTTGGGAAAACCCTTTCCTGAAAACCTCCCCTTCTGTTAACTCAGGGAAGCAGTTATTCGTGGCTCATTTCAAAGAGATTTTCCAGACAGCCATGAGAAGGACATGTCCTTAATGGTGGTGCAAGTCCTTAATCCAAGCACCTAGGAGGCAGAGACAGGCAGATCTATGCTAATTCAAGGTGAGCCTGGTTTACATAGTAAGTTCTAAGATCAGCCAGAGCAACATAGTAAGACTGTCTCAAAAAAACAAAACATCAATCAAACAGTTTCCCTTGTGGTCTTCCCCTCAGCCAGACCCAGCTGTAATGGTCTGCACAAGTTCCATATAAAGAAGAGCCCTCCCTAGCTCACCATCTCATTCTAATACACCCCAATGGGAGAACTCTGCCCAGAAGCAGAGCCAGAGAGTGGAGGGTCAGCAGGTGAGAGCACTGGCTGTTTTTCCAGGGGACCAGCATCCCAATGGTGGCTAACAGTCCAATTCCAGGGAATCTGACACCCTCTTCTGGCCTCCCCAGGCACCAGTCACACAATGTTGTGCTCAGACATACATGCAGGCAAAACACCTACACACATGAAATAATAGCAACAATAAGGTGATGGCTTCAGCCTCCTCTTTCCTCAAGCAACAAAAGGTCCCCTTTACCTTGTGTAAGGACTTCCAGCTAAGAGTCAGGAGGGGCAGGATGGCAGAGGTGATATTGCTCCAATCTACTGTTCCCATGGTTCTCTGCACACAGGGCTCCAGGCACGGCTGTCCCTTTAACATGTGACTTCTTTCCAGAGATGTCCCCACCCCCAATGATCTCTTGTAGGTCTTGGGCTGACTGGGGAACTTGGTCAGGAGAGTCCCAGAAGGGCTGGATAATATTCTGGGGATCACCCTAGATTCCAGGACCCTAGCCTCTCAGAACCTGAGACCCTGATCAGAGAAAACATGCCACCTGACCCTGGTGAATTCTTTGAGCTGTAGACACCATGGTCGCTCCTGGTTGGGAGTCAGGGAGAGACAGAGAAGCAGAAGGACATCACAAGACCAGGATGTGGGGGACACCTAACTGGAAAAGCTGACTCAGCGTCTCGCTTGGGAAGCCCTGAGCTTCCCTGTGCTCTCCACTATACACAAGTGTCCCTCCACAAGGTGCTCCCAGACCCCAATGGGTCCCCTGTGCCTTCAGGACTTGATAGGATGCTAGGGCAGGATGATGACCGAGGGTCATTACAACTCTCACTGAGAAGGGTGGGTGAGAGGAGGCTGCTGCCACTGGGTGTTGGGTCTTCTGTGGACTGGCAGTTGGTGTCCCCACTTCACCTCTGTGCAGACAATATTGCAAAGGACTCTGCTCTTGTCTTGCTGTCGGTTAGGGTGGCAAACTGTGGCATCAGTGTTTACCAGGACACCAGGGTCTTGCTGAGGAAGCCAGGCCAGCTCAGGATGGCAAACAGCTGCTCTGTCCCTGGCAGACAGACATGTGTCCTAACTGGGAAGCATGTGTGGCCTGCCTTCTGTGGCCAAAAGCTTTGAAAGACTGTTGTCCTAGTGCCTGGGTTCTAGCAGGCACAGCCACTTGACAATTATCTTGCCACTCCTGCTGTGACCTCTCTCTCCCCCATTATCTAACCCTGGGACCTCACAGGAAGGCCTCTGTGGCCAGCTGGTGATGAGCACAATGCTGGACAGTCTGGACAGAGACCAGAGCCTGCCAGTCCTGCTGAAGGATAGCTCTCGGGATGGATAGACCCACCACCCAGAGCTCGGCATGTGACTGCGCATACGGTACCTCATTTGGGCTGAAGGTAGCTTCAAACATGGGCCTTCACCAGCTCATGAACAGCTGTTAAGACTTGGAACAAAATTGGGAGAGTGATGAGGTACCCAGAGGAGAGAGAGGGAAGATGAAATTCTCTCACTGTGTAGCCAGTGCCGACATTTGTCACATGACCGCCCCAGGGCCATCTACTGCAGAAGAGGATGTCAGCATCAGGGTGAGAGACTATCCTTCTGTGCAGTCAGCTGTGCCCAGCCATCGAGGGCCTGTGCATAGGAGCCAGCCGGCCAGGCTGTAGGCTTAGCCTGGCCTCACCAAGCCTGTCTGTCTGTCTGCATTGTTGAGTGTTTACTGCCAAAAGCAGTCAGTAATGCTGGGGTCCTGTATGGCTCAAGTAATAGCCAACTCCTTGGTGGGAAGATGGTAGCCTAAGAGCCCATCCTTTTGTCATGGCAGGAGCAGTAAATGTCCCCTTTGGGATAGGTGTCTACTCTGCATATGGATTTGCCCTCTGCCTTCTGCCTTCACCAGCATCTACAGACTCATTCCTGCCCCAGGAATCTTCATGGTGCTGCTCCAGGAGGTAAGACTTCAGGGAACTGAAAGGGAGGCAAATTCTCAAAGATGCAGTGTATTAGATAATTTCCTCATCGTGGCAAAAACGCCTGGCAGAAAGCAACTTGAAGGAGGGAAGATTCTGGCTCACAGTCTGGGAGGGTGCAGGACAGCAGGAGTCTGAGGATGCTCACTCACTCACATTTGCATGGATTAGAAAACAGGGGATTCCTGCATTTCTTTTATTCTTTCTGCTCCAGCCCCCAAGAAATGGTGCCACTCACTTCGGAGTGGGTCTTCCCCCCCAGTTAATCCTCTCAGGGACATAGCCAAATGTCTGCCTCACCAATGTCCAAGACATCTCTTATCACAATACAAATTAACTATTGCAAAGAGCTTAGAGTTCTCTAAACACACTAAACGTTAACCAAGCAACCTCATCTACATGCTGTTGTGTAATTAAAGGAGCCAAAAGAGAAGCTTGGGGGGCTGGAGAGATGGCTCAGAGGTTAAGAGCACTGACTGCTCTTCCAGAGGTCCTGATTTCAATTCCCAGCAACTACATGGTGACTCACAACCATCTATAATGAGATCTGGTGCCCTCTTCCGGCCTGCAGGCATCCATGCAGGCAAAACATTGTATACATAAAAAAAAAAAAGTTTAAAAAAAAATTGCTTATTACGTCGGGCATTGGTGGCGCACCCCTTTAATCCCAGCATTCGGGAGGCAGAGGCAGGCGGATCTCTGTGAGTTCAAGGCCAGCCTGGTCTCCAGAGTGAGTTCCAGGACAGGCTCCAAAGCTACACAGAGAAACCCTGTCTCAAAAAACCAAAAAAAAAAAAAAAAAAAAAAAAAAAAAAAGAAAGAAAAGAGCAGCTTGGGGTCCTAAACTGGTCACAGATCTAAAGGGTAAACTAATGACAGGAAATACAGTCAGCTGTGACTTCCTGGGTCAGAGCTAACAAAAGCTAAATGTGAAATCGTTACGTTGGTTTGGCTGTCACCCTATCTCAAAACCCATGCTGAGTCGGGACTGCACAGGTCAGCCTTTACCTGACTGCAGAGCTGAAGGACAGTAATGGAACATGGAATGGAGGGGCCAAACACACCCATCTCAGCTGAAACAGAAGAAGCGGGTGCTGAAGGTGAAGGGACCAGCTCCCCTCTCGGCAGCCATAACGGCCGAACACGTGCTTCTATGACCTTGTCCTAGACACTAGAAAGTCAGATGCCTGCCTCGTGACAAGGAGCCAATCAGAAGTTAGCTGGTGGCGCTATGCTTTACGACCCTGGGTGTGCTTTACGGACAAGTGCACAGCAATGACACACAAAGCAGAGCAACAACCCTGGGAGGGCCTATGGGCCATAACAACCAGTTGACCAATCAACACAGGGCAAGCCCTCCAAGCCTGGGGGCACACCAATCCTGAGCCTGTGCGTACCCCTAGACATTCCCCTTACGCTGTCCTATAAGATCTCTTGGGAGGCCCTAGGAGCTGTCTTTTCGAGCCATCCGCCATGGCAGGAGGGTGAAAGACCAGAGCTAACATGGGGTTAGCTCATTAAATTACAATAAAGCCTCATGCACTTTGCATCAAGCTCTCGACTCCGCCTGGTGACTGGGGTGACCGAGAACATGGCCTGGGACCCCGGATACTTGAGTTTTCCGAGGGTCTAACAAAGGCGAGGTACGGCAGTGCTGAAGGCTGGGCATGGTGCCACACGCCTTTAACCTCAGCACTTGGCAAGCAGAGGCAGGTGGGTCTCTATGAGTTTGAGGCCAGCCTGGTACACATAGGAGAGCCAGGGCTACATAGAGAAAACCTGTCTCAAAAACACAAACAAAAGTTCAGAAGAAGCAGGGCTTGAGAGATGGCTCAGCAGTTAGAGTTCTGGCTGCTCTTCATAGGACCGGCCTTTAGTTCCCAGGATCACGTCATTATGCCTGTAGCTCCAGCTTCAGGGAATCTGATGCTCTCGTCTGGTCTCCACCAGAAACTGCACACATGGCGGATCTACCTTCATGCATGCACACAAAATAAATCTTTAAAAGATTAGGACCCACTAGACAAAATTGAACACCACCCCACGATAAATACATTTAACAAACAGGAGCTAGAAGGAAACTACTTTGACATAACAAAAGTTAATTGTGACTATTTTACTCAGCAATGAAGTCTAGAGGTTGGGCATGGTGGCACACTGGAGGCTGGGCACAGAGGTGCACACCTTTAATACCAGAACCTGGGAGGCCACTCTGATTCAGGCCACCCTGGTCTACATGGTCCTCAAAAAAAAAAAAAGAAAAGGAAAGAAAAGCCATGTCTTTCTCAGCTGGTCTGGGGAAGCACGACTTGGTTTTCACACCAGGGCTCACATTACCCCAGACAGAATGCATTTTTCATGTCCACCTCAATAGACAAAGACTCCATGAGGCTGGCTCTTTATCCTTTTGCAGCTCACCCACCCCACCTTCTTAGAAAGCCAGACCTTCACTCTCATCAAAAGCTTGCTTAGCCTCCTGGTTTGGGGAAGTGCTTTGAAGAAGGTGTGTTTAACCTCAGGCTTCCCAGTTCTCTTGTCAAGGAGTTAATGAAGTGAAGTCCATCTCCAGGCCCATGGTATCCAATAGTTCCATCTTTAATCCAATCCCCAGGGGCCACCAGTGGGGTGGAGGATTACAGCAAGCACCATCCACCACTGGCACTCAGCACCCGCACACGCTGGTCTTCACACGACTGAATGGGCATACTGCTTCCACAAGAGAAGCCTTTTTTCTTCAGTTGAACTCACTCTTGTTCCCTTCTATGGTAGAGAGAGAGGCAAGGTCACTGCAGCCATTCCTGGGCTATGATATCAATTTATGGATCATATCAATCGCTCCATAAGCCAAGGCAGTGCCAACTGAATCTGCCGTGGCCTGAAAACAGAATGCTAAGCTTTAGACCTCGCAATTCTATGAAATCCTGGGAAGAAGGCAGCACCTGAAGTATGGTTCCCCATGCACGAAGTGTCCTGGAATCTGCAGATCCATGAAACTCTGAGACAGCTTACCTGGCTCTCCCCTCCTCCACCTCTACACAGTGGCTGGACTGGAGCTCTGGGCTCACCAAAGGTTATATCTGTCACCAAGCCTGCCTGAGTTCAATCCCCAGTTCTCTTATGGTGGAAAGAGAGAGCCAGCTCCTGCAAGTTGTCCTCTGACCTCTGCATGCATACTACAGCAAACACATAGACAAATAAATGTAAAACTAAAATGGAGCAGGGTGAGGTGTGGCAGAGTTAATAGCTCTGGCTGCTCTTGCAAGGGACCCAAGTGTGATTGCCAGCCTCCACATGGTGTCTAGGTCTCCACAGCCCTAGGTGATCTGATGCCTCCTTCTGGTCTCCCAGAGCAATGCACTCACTTAGTGCACAGACTTACAAGCAGGTAAAACATCTGCACACATAAAATGAATTACATTAATCTTTAAAAATATACATGTTAATGAATATTTTTAACGTAATGGGTCCTTTAGAAAAATGGCATACCCAATCAATAGAGCTGGTAGGAAGCTGGGGGTACTTATCCCCAACACACCTACAGAAGACCAAAGTACAAGAGGGCTATTCTCAAAGACTTTCAGGGCTGCCTTTTCTTTAATGGGTTGACCCCCAAATCACAGAGGTCCACCAAGATTCTTGAAGAATCATATCAGCATGGATATCACCAGTGTGGACTAAAGAAAGGGGATAGAGTAAGACTTCAGACCACCGGAGTTACACTAGAGGTGTGTGCGAGCTGCACACGCGGAGGTCAGCGGGATAACGGAGAATCTGCCTTTTTGTGCAGCAGTCTTTTGATAGGGGAATGTCCTTCTGTATGCTGTGACTATATATCAGTTGATGGATAAAGCTGTTAGGGCCAATGGGCAGGCAGAATTTAGCTAGGGAGGAATTCTGAACAAAGAGGCAGGCAGAAGAAAGACAGATGGCAGACGCCATGTAGTTGTGGGGGAGTCGAGACATCGCTGGTAAGCCAAGGCTGCATGGAGTTACACAGACTAATACAAATGGGTTAACAGTTAAGAAGCCCAAGCCAATGGCCAAGCAATTATAAATATATATTTATTTATATGTCATTGAGTGGTTATGTCATTAAGCAGCTGCAGGACCCGGTGGGCAGAGAGGAAACCAGTCCAGTGGGACCGAGAGAGATGGCAAAAAATCTCCTTTTACAGTCTTCGTGTTTCTTTCTTTCTTTACAGCAATAAAACCAAGCAGCCTTCTGCTGGGAAACCTCACCAGGCCATGGGCTGCAGCGGGCCACTCTCAGCTTACCACTGGGTGGCAACAGGGCTAAGCTATGCATTATTCTGCAATTCCCAGTAGCAAATCATCCACTTCCTTCTGAACTCTCTCCCACACCCAGCATCCTGAAGTCCCTGTCCCATGGTGGCCTGTCTGGGGAGCTTTTGCCTTTGGCTACCACACTCCTCAGAGTACAGACTGTCTACATTTTCAGAGGTTTGCTGTCAGTGCCCTGTCTAGCCTCATGGCTATATTGGGTATTTGGTGATGCAGGAGGGGGAGGAAAACAAAAACAACAACAACAAAAAAAACAAAGCTGTCTCAGCCTCAGGGTTGGGAACAGCCAAGTGTGGGTTCTCAGTTTTCTGGGGGATTAGAAGCCTGAAGTACTGAGCTGGTCCTCTGCGCTGTGTCTCATCTGATTCATTTTGTGTCTCTAGGGTGTCATCAGGACACTATCATTTTCATGTTTACCTGGGAAGGGCCCACTTCCAGTCTAGCCTGGGAGCTGCTGCTGGCTGGAGACGTCAGTTTCTTGCTGTGTCCACAGAGCCCGGCACTGCATATGTGTATAGCACAAATAATAAAAGACCCAGAGACAGTTATTGGAGTTCAAGCTTCAAGCTGAAGATCAAAAAGCAAAGCAGCCAGACACTAGCTCTTACCTCTAGCTCAGGCTGAAAGGGCTGATCCACTGAACCTCGGACTGCAACCCAGACTGCACTGCTCTCTTCAATGCGGCCAAATGCTCGGAGATTGACTTTGCTTCTTCCTTATACCTCTCAAATCCTGGGATTTCAGGCGTGGAACCCCAGGTGCTGAGATCTCATTTGTGTGAGCTGTTTTAGACTGGATCAGTTTCACATAGCTCAGTGTGGCCTTGAACTAACAGAGACCCATTTACCTCTGTCTCGTGAGTCCAGGGATTAAAGGTGCCACCACTGCCTAGCTTCTATAGCTAACTAGTGCGGCTGTCTTTGCATTCTGATACTTCAGGCAATCTTTATTAAATCATAAATAACATATCATCACACATGTTTTTCAAGGGGGCAAACATAGCAGAGGTTGACCCTTTTGTGATGTGATTTTGAAAGTCATGAAAGTGATGAAAGCATTCCATAACTCAGGTCATATTATGTTTCTGAAATAAACAGCTCTAATAGGGCGCTGGAGAGATGGCTCAGTGGTTAAGAGCACTGGCTGCTCTTGCAGAGGTCTTGAGTTCAATTCCCATCAACCACTTGGTGGCTCACAACCATCTGTAATGACATCGGGTGCCCTCTTCTGGCCTGCAGGAATACATGCAGGCAAAACACTGCATACATGATAAATAAATCTCTCTTTTTTTTTTTTTTTTTTTTAAGAGCTCTAATAGGGCAGACCAGCCTTGAGGGCTGAGGTCACCACAGGGAATATACCCTGGGAAGTGGGTGTCACTGGGGTATCTCAGAGACTTTGGCCACACGACGATATTGAGGCCCTGTGTTAAGATGAGGTAGTTACCCAGGCAGGCCATGCACTGTAACTCTGGAGAAAGGAGTGATGTCATTTTAATCCCCCAAAAGAATTCTCTACACCACAGTAGCCCTAATCACACAGAGAAACCGCAGTGTACTGGCCAGAACAGCTCTGCCTGAGCCCAGGGAGGGGCTGGGACACTCACTGCCTCCCCCCTCCCTCTCTCCACTGCTCAGTTTGACATTCAGCCACTTAGGGGACATACTCCTTAGTTGCACAGAGCAGGGCCACAGTGTCAAGACCTGGGAAAGTCATTTCACGCCAGCCTGAGGTGCCTGGCCTGGGAACTGTGCCTGCAAGGGCAGAGCCCCTTGACAGTCCCTTGCAAATCCACTTTGGGGTCATTTAGGCATCCCCTGCCACCAAAGGGACAGAGGCAACTTATACCTGACATACAGATGATAGAAGTATCTAGAGGAAAATCCTGTGTG